ATACAAGTATTTTGTGAGTTGATTTCACTTTATTAATAGCGCCCTTTGAAGCATGAAAGTTCATCCTCTTTTTTTACTTCCAAATTCTTTTTGGCTTTTATAGTTTTATATGTGGTAAGAATCTGCATTTATTCAATCTTGAGATTGTTCAGCTTCTTAGATGTGTAGTCTCATGCCCTTAAATTTGTGGAGTTTTTTTCTAGCCATTACTTCTTCAAATATTCTTCCCTTCCTTTCTCCTTTTCTCTTTCTTTCCATTCTTCTGTTATGTATTATTTTGATACTCAAATTTTCTCTTAAGAACAAGTGCAAGCTTCTTCAGATTAGATTGTGACAACTCTTGAACACAGTAGTAATTTTTAGTACTTTTCTTACTTTGTGGGATAAGATGGCCTAGTCTGTAAATCACCATTTCTCTAGAAGACCTAGTTGCTCTTAGTGGGAAATTACCTACACAAGAAAATGCCTGAGTACCAGAGATGCTTCTTGCTAGTGGTCATTGTTCTAAGCTTCACATGATTGAGTTTTACCTATTAAGCAGCACTCTTGCTGTTGTGCCTTTTGGTTTATAATCCATGAGGTAGAACTCAGCAGGTGCTCTTTTAGAAATTAATATCTTACTCAACTAGTAACTCATGGTAAAAATAATACTTGTAAATCACCTAATTAGCAGTCATTTAAATTAATCAGGGAATATGGGGCGCCTGGGTGGCGCAGTCGGTTAAGCATCCGACTTCAGCCAGGTCACGATCTCGCACTCCGTGAGTTCGAGCCCCGCGTCAGGCTCTGGGTTGTTGGCTCAGAGCCTGGAGCCTGTTTCCGATTCTGTGTCTCCCTCTCTCTCTGCCCCTCCCCTGTTCATGCTCTGTCTCTCTCTGTCCCAAAAATAAATAAATGTTGAAAAAAAATTTTTTTTAATTAATCAGGGAATAGGCAGGTTAGAAGTTTGTGCTTTATATTAATAGATATAGGGAGTTAAAGCAAAATATGCAACTTGCTCATAATGTAAGTTAAATAGTTTCTTTTTTTTAAAGCATGGTTAGTGTGATAGTTAATTCTATGTGTCAACTTGGTTAGGCCATTTTGCCTAGATATTTAACCCACTATTATTTGAGAAGTTTCTGTGAGGTGTTTTAGATGACTAACATTCAAATCAACAGATTTTGAGTAAAACAGTTTACCCTCCATGATGTAAAGAGGCCTCTTTCAATCAGTTTGAAGAGCTTTTAGAGGAAAAGACTTATCTCAGACTCAAATTGAAATATCAACTTTTCCCTGAGTCTCCAGCCCACTGATCTATCCCATAAAATTAAGACTTGCCAGCCCCCACATCTTAAGAGGCAATTCCTTAAATTTGTCTTTTTTTCTCTTTCACTCTGTACCTCCTGTTGCTTCTCTTTTTCTGGAGAACTCTAGTACAGATTTTTGTTCTGAGAAGTAGAGTGCTACAGTTACAAATCCTTAAAATGTGGAAGCAGCATAGAAATGTATTACTGTGTAGAGGTGAATGGTAAAAAAAAAAAAAGTCTAGATTATCTAAAGCAATTATTGGTAGAAACACAGATATTGAAGTTGCTCTGGTGAGATCTTAGGTGGAAATGAGTAACATTTTAGAAACTGGAAGAAAAGCAACACTTGTTAGAAAGTGGTAAAGTATTTGGCTGTATTCTGTTTTAGTGTTTTATGGAAGATAGAATTCATCAGTGATGAATGTAGGTATTTAGCTTGAAGAGATTTCTAAGCAAGGTACTGAAGATGTGACCATGGTTCTTCATTGGAAAAAGATGGAAAGAACTTGTATTCTCTTACTCAGGTCATTTATGTTAATTTTTCAAAATGGTAGAAAAAATCTAACTACCAGTCACAAAGTTCTAAAGAAGAAATACATTTTAGAATAATATAAATTCCTTTGCTTGCTTTGAAACCAGATTGTTTTTTATTAATAGCATTTGCTTTTGGGATAGTCTGCTGTCAATCTCTCTAAAGTTTCCCTTTATGTATTTCTTCAAGAAAACGAAAGCATTTTAGAATGTCTTTACTCTGCCATACACATTTATTTGGAGTTCCCAGAGGCAAGCACCAAATACATGTTTGCTACCCTCTGTGCTGAGACTTCTACAGGCTTCTCCTCTAATACTAAAGTAGTAGTAATTTTAAAGAAAGACAGGTGTAGGTCCTTTAAATGATGTAAGACATAAGATGCTTAACCACCCAGCAGTTTCAGTGATCTTAGGTGTACTTGAAATCTTAATGTATTCAAAAATTATATTTTGTATTTTAGCATCAAAACAGTTTCACATTTCTGCTATTCGTACTTCATTTTTTAATTTTATTATAAATATCATATATTATTAACTAAGTATACTTCTGGTAACATGGTTTGTTATATATTACAAATTCTTTACTGTCACTCAAATGTATTTTAAATCCAAATGACTTTCCATTGAAAAAAGCTAACATAATTCTGCTGTCTTCATCCATACAGTTATCTACAGAATAATCTTCCTTGGATTTTAATAAAGGTTTATCTAACAAATATAGCTACATCTATCCTTTTTATATGTGAAACCTAATGTCAAAAGGCGAGTTTAAAATTATCACTAACTTCTCACCTTTTAAAGGTCAGAAACATAGGAAACGTCTTTTTCCTTTATGTTAGTGGCCACTCAATGCTTATCCTGGTGGTTTTACTAGTATTTTTGATAATCCTGGAAGATTGAACAAGAATTTAGTTAACATTAGCTTTTTTGTTCTGACTTGTTTGAGTGCCAATTATTAATAAACCATAACATTTAAGGAAGGCCTTTGGAAAATATTGAAGAATGGCTACACTATTTTGAAATTATGTTAGTTATATTTGAAGTTAAGCAGGTTCTTTTTTCTTTTCTTTTCTTTTCTTTTCTTTTTTTTTTTTTTTTTTTTTTTTTGAGAGAGAGAGTGAGGGCGTGCAAGCACATGGGGTGCTCAAGCTGGAGAGGGGAGGGAAGGGGAAGAGAGAATTCTAAGCAGACTCTACAGTCTCAGCACAGAGTCTGATATAGGGCCTGATCTCACAAAACCTGAGATCAGAACCTGAGCCAAAGTCAAGAGACCAATGCCCAATGAACTGAGGAACCCAGGTTCCCCTAAGCTGGTTCTTTTTTACCTGTAAAATGTGTTTTGTTTACCCTACCATGAATTATGTCACAGTATGTTGTAGTTAATATCTCCTGTATTTTTTAATTAATTTTTTAATGTTTATTTTTTCATACAGAGATGCTGTCCAAGTTGGGGAGGGGCATAGAGAGAGGGACAGAATTCCAAACCTGCTCCCTGCTGTGAGTGCAGAGCCAGACATGGGGCTCAAATTCACTGTGAGGTCCTAACCTGAGCCAAAATGAAGTCAGATTAACCAATTGAGCCACCCAGGCTGCGCTTTTGTCATTTTCTAGAAATAAAGACCTATTGCCATGGTTTTAAAACAACATTTAATCTTGGGGGGAATAAAAGAAAGAAATTAGCTAAGGTCTTTGAGAGGAAAATTATTATCTAGTAGTTTGTCAGATTTCTTTTAGGTATGCCGTTGTTTTTCCTTTTTTAAGCTTATTTCATATTTTTAAGATACATGCAGGAAGGACAAATTGTATTCTGGGAGCTTGAGAATATGTGTGACACAAGTCATATATATAGCCTATATATTTAAAGAAATTTCCTAAAGTATGCTATTTGCTCTATAATTTTTACATTCTTTGTTGTTTAAAAGATTTTGTGTATCATTCAGGTCACTGTAGGGAAAGTATAGTATCTCGGATTCCATATTACAGTGCAAGCACACCATATTGCTTGACTTTAATTTTTATTATTTCTAGGTAATGTCAATGCCAAAAGTGGGCTCCAGCTCACAATGGTAAGATCAAGTAAGGCATGTGCTACCTACTGAGCCAGCCAGGCACCACTTACTGGTAAATTATTTTAAACATAGTTTGAGTCCCAAGTTCAGTAGGGAAAACTAATCAAATTTTAAAGTAAATAAAATGCAAAGTACATGTTTTTGGAGTTGCTAAATGCTTGTTTAATCAAGTATATTTCTTGTTTTCTAATTCTTTTTTTTTTTAATTTTTTTTTCCAACGTTTATTTATTTTTGGGACAGAGAGAGACAGAGCATGAATGGGGGAGGGGCAGAGAGAGAGGGAGACACAGAATCGGAAACAGGCTCCAGGCTCTGAGCCATCAGCCCAGAGCCCGACGCGGGGCTCGAACTCACAGACCGCGAGATCGTGACCTGGCTGAAGTCGGACGCTTAACCGACTGCGCCACCCAGGCGCCCCTCTAATTCTTTTTTAAGGGCAGTTTAAAACGTTTGTAGAAAAGTATATCCACATATAATTGTGCTGCTCTGTGTATATATTTAAAACATGGAAATAGTAAAGTTCATTATTTATGAATCTATCCTACATGATTTACATTTCAGAGGCTACCAAATACTCAAGAGAAGGTTCATATGAAAGACTATATAGTAACAATTCATGTTTATTGAAATACGTGGAATTATTTTCAGAGTTAAATGCTTTTCGCACATACTTTGAAAGCAGGTTGCCTGATTGTTTTTTAATTTATTGGTTTGGTAATTGCTGTAGGATAACTTCTCTCTTGCCCATATACTCAGACTGGCAAGCCAATTTTTATTGCATTTCAAAAAAATTTTTTTCAAGAGAAGATAACACTAGGGACTGCTAATGTTTAGGTACCCACTAGGAAGAGGAAAACATATTCACGGGCGCGGGAGTTTAGAAACTTGCAAAGTTGAGAAGGCATCTCGAGGTGGAAAGGAGGATTGTCTCCGGGGAGAACCGTGGGGATGACGGCGGCCCATGAGACACAGTAGCGGACTGTCAGGCTGGTCTGCGGGCCGCCTGCTTCGCGGCCGGGTAGAAGGACCACGGCTCCGAGCGGGCTTTAGGGTCAAGGCAGCGGCAGCGGAGCGTGAGCGGCAGAGGCGGGAGGGAGCGCGGAGGAGGAAAGAACGTTGTGACAGAGTCCGGCCGCCAGCGACCCCGCTGCCGGGAGGCCACTGCGCTCCCCGGTCGCGGGGCCTGAACGGCGCCAACACAGGGTTCCGTACTATCCACATTTCGGAAGGGGGCCTATCAAGCCTTCCGCATTTTCCTGGGGCTCTTTCCCGGGCGGTGACGTGACGTGCTGACGGCGGGCCCGTGCCGGAGAGCTGGGCCGCTTTTTGTCAACTCCGAGCTCGGCCCCTCCTCCCTCCCTCCGCCCGCCCCACCAGCCGGAGCCCGGCCCAGTGCTCCAGAGAAAGGCCGGCCTGCAGCACCCGCTACCGTCGCCGGCCACCCGAATGCCAGTCCGGTGAGTCCGGGACTCTGCTGTGACCGTGGGGCCCAGCGGGAGTGGGGTAGCCTGATCGGCGGCCTGGGAAACGCCCTTCCGCACTAGGCCGGGCCGTGCGGCGCAAAGCGCAGAGCAGGCCGTGAGGAGGCCGCACTTAGGCCCGGGGAGGAGGCCGCACTTAGGCCCGGGGAGGAGCCTAGCCGCCCAGAGCTGTGCCGAGGTATGCTCGGTTATTAGGGGGCCAAGGGATAAGGGGTAGGGGGTGGTAGGGGAGGATCGCCGGCTGGGGCGGAGGCGGCGTCGAGGTCTCGGGTTGGCCCCGCGGCCTGTTCGGGGCACCTCGCGAGGCCGAGGCCTAGCTAGGACCGAAATCTGTAGGAGTGAGGTGAAGGCCGCAGGGCGGCCGGGTGGATTTTCTGTATGTAAATATTGGCGGCGAGGGGGAGGGACGGGGGCAAGATGGTGGCGGATTTACGCTTGCTGCCTGGGACGGTTGAGGGGTTGTCGAGAGGAGGACCGCCATCTTGAAAGCGGCGTTTAAGTAGAAAATTCCGCTACAGTCCTTGAGGGGGTGTTGGAGAGCTGCAGCGGCGACCCCAGTGACGAGCTTTGCACGGGCCCATCACGGTACCGTGTGCACGCGAGGAGGGGGTTGCTAGCTTCTCAAGACTGCCATTGCCCTTGCCGCCATGATGCGCCCTCGTGCTGCAGGCGTTACGCTGCAGCGCCACCTTCCGTGGCAGTCATCAAGCAGTGAGTGGCTGCTTCGTCCGCTGAGCTGCTGTGTGCCTTTCGGTCCTGTTCCATTTGCCAGTGCTGGTAACCACCTGAGGTTGGTTGTCAGTCCCAGCAACTGAGCTCACAAAGACATTTTTTACACTTTAGTAGAGTCAAACGTGGCTCTTAGGGTGCCCCCGATCAGGTTGTTCTCGATCCGTTGTCTCCGCGACTCAGTCATTAAAATTGAAATTGATGGGGATAAAGTTCTCACCCAACCTTTTTGCTAAGTAGGGGAGAAAGTGCATTTTGCAAGCTTGAAATCGGAAGAGTAAAAGTTTGAAGGTTATTTTTCTCTCTTATTTGGAAAAACTTTCAGAGTCACGTTTAAATGATTAATTACTTTATATCATTTATTGACTAGTACATGCTTTTCTGTCGAGGCACAACAGAGTGTGATGGATTAACTACTGTTCACTTACCTGGTGCTGTTTAGATTTTGTCGTTGTGGAAAATGTTCAAGGTACTCTAGTGTACTTTTAGATTGCTTACTGTTAAACTTGTATTGTAAATTCAGACCTTAGTGCATACGATGCACGGTGTAAGAAAGACTGTAAGGATTTTTAAAATGCACATGATGGCTGCCAGAAGTTCACTTTTATGTTACTGTGGGAAGCCGAAGTCTCTATTTCCAGCATCAGGAAAAGGTTCCTGAAATAGGTGGCATGTTGGGGAAAGTTATTCATTGAAAAAATGGTGGACTTTTTATTTTTAGGTGGAGGAGGGACGGTGCAAAAGGCTTTGTAAGGATGATTTAAAATATTTATAGTTTGCTAGATGGGTCGGATAGGTAGGAGAGTAGTGGAAATGAAAAAAGGTAGATTGTGACTGTAGCAGAGTGATCAAACACCCCAGTCCTACTTCATATTCATTTAGCTGTTCTGGATCCAGTTTTTGGAAAAGGTTGAAAGTTGAGAAATAGGGACAACAATTACTAAGTAAATCAGTCGCTTCAGTACTAGAAAATTACCTGAGTGTTGCTGCTTTTCACATGATTCATCTCTCCTGGACAGCTGTTCTTTTCTATCCTAAATTCTTATTCCAATAACCTCTAGCTCAGAAATATTACATTTTCTATAGCGAAGAAAATTGCTTTACCATGGTTGAAAATTACAGCAGTAATTTAGGAAGTCACTTTGAAAAGTAGGCTAGAAGAGTAATGCCTAAATAATTAAAGTGCCATTATGCAAACCTTCTCTCCTCCCCTCCCCCTGAGTGAAAGTAATTCCCTCCACAAAATAATCTTTTCTACTTTTTACTAGCCTACACTTTAAAACTCATTGTAAATATGATTTATTTGTGAATGTTCTAGATTAGGAAATTTTAAGAAGTACATGGAGTGCTTATGTCCTAGAATTTTACAATAGAAAACACAAATTTTCCATTTCCGTATATTGCAACAGGTCAATCTCTGGTAAGAGGGATTCTTCTGTTTATAATGAAAATCTGTGTTTAGGAAACACAAATTAACAAATTGGATTATAGAGACAGACTAGAAGCAGGTTGCTAATGCAGTCTAGTTGTGGAGGTCGTAAGGAAAAATATAAACTGTAGAAGTAGTTGCTTTATATCTTGACAGCTGGGAAAGACATAGAAGAGCTCTAAAGAAGATAGAATTGTATGCTGCACTTTATGCACAGTACAGCAGCAGCAGACGTTCCAGTACAGCAACAGTGGATTTTCAAGATTAAGATTAATTTAGAGTCGAATGTATAATTGAGGCAGGTAAGTGTATAATTTTAAAGACTTTCTATAAGAAATGTTTAAATATAAATGTTTTTTGCTAGAAGAGGTAGACCATGATGATCTGGAAAGCAGAGAGGTAGATTATTAATTAGCCAACGATTGTGGATAAATCAGCTATTATTTTTTTGTTTATATATGTTTTTCATATGGATGCATCTTTCCTTTTTTTAAAAAACATACAATGCTTTTTGTTTGTGCTTATTTTATGACTCTTAACTTTTGTATTCTCACTAAATTAATCTTGTGTTTGTGCACATAGACAGTTACAAACTTTTTTTTTTAATTCTTGTAAACTTCTCAACCCCAGTCTTTAAAATCCCTCCACCTCATAGTTTATTATTATTTTTAACTTAACTGAGAAAGGTGGGTGACCATTTGCTGTAAACATGTGATCTCTTCAACTCATGCTGTTCCCCTATTTCTACCCAGACTATCTTTTTTCTTTTGCTTTGGCAAGAATGCTCTTCTCCATGCCCAGCTATTCTGCCAGTCTTCTTCTGTAATGTTCATGATTTCTTTCTCTCACTCCTAAGTATAACTATGCTAATCCTGTAAACATTTACCTGATAACACATTTATCCCGTATTTCTTTATACCAGTCCTTTTATTTTCACTTTATCCCACTTAATTATAAATTCAGTGTTTACCAAACTGTGAAACTCCTCCATTACATGTTAATTGGGGCATCACAAAAAAGTGTTTTGTTTTACAGAAACTGCTTTCGTTCTCTGCTGTGATTCTTTTTTTTTCTTTTTCTTTTAAAGATTTTACTTTTAAGCAATCTTTTTACCCAACGTGGGGCTCAAATGTGTACCACCCCAAGATGAAGAGTCACATGCTCTACCAGCTGAGCCAGGGAGACACTCCTCTGGTTCTTTTTAAAACTTATGTGGGGACTCTCCATGAGGTCATTTGCTATCCTTTTCTGTCTTCTTCCTTGGCTTCTCTGTCATCTATTATACCCACCTTTTTATCTAAGTTTGTTATCTAGTATTTCCAGTTGCTTACCAAACAATAGTACCCAGCTGGCTTGTTGATACTCCATACTCAAGTTGACTGAAGTAAAGTTTAATTAATTCATAGTAAGTGCCCTAGAATGTTTATTGAAAATCTGTTATTCCATGGAGTTCCTAAACAACTCCTGTGCCTTATTTCTTTCTCTTTGTCACTCCATTAGTTTCCCAGGCTCATTCTTTGTTTCGTGTCACATGGAGCATTGTAGACATCTTTAGTTTAGCGTTAAATCTGTTATATCCTAATACTGGTATTTTTGTCTTGCTAAATTTTGAAGATCCTAATTATAGAGATAGTTTCTTATCTTCTTTTGCACAATGATCTGGACATAGACATTATTTCCAAAAAACATTACTGAATGATTGAATACTGAGATTTTAATGGAGTTGAGTAGCTTTCCATTTGTAATTAATTCATGAAACAGATACTGTGGTTTTGGTATAAGGCTTTAACGTGTATTTATTTTTGAGAGAGAGAAGAGAGAGCACAACACATGTGAGGGGGAGGAGAAGATAGAGGGACTCACAGAGTCTGAAGCAGTTCCAGGCTTTGAGCTGTTAGCACAGAGCCTGATACAGGGCTCAGACTCACTAACTGTGAGATCATGAATGGAGCCGAAGTCAGATGAGTTTTATAAGTTCCTTATATATTGTGGATACAAAGCCTTTTTTGGATATGTCATTTGCAAAATTTTCTCCCATGCCATAGGTTGCCTTTTGGTTTTATTGTTTCCTTTGCTGTGCAGAAGATTTTACTTTTAATGTAGTCCCAGTAGTTTAGTTTGCTTTTATTTCTCTTGCCTCAGGAGACATATCTGGAAAAATGTTGCTAGACCTAATGTCAGAGAAATTATTTCTTGTGATGTCTTCTAGTATTCTTATGGTGTCAGGTGTCACAGTTAGGTCTTTAGTCCATTTTAATTCTGCTTTTATGTTTGCTCTGAGAAAGTTGTCCCGTTTCCTTCTTTTGAATGTTGCTGTCCAGTTGCCCCAAAACCATTTGAATGAATCTTAAAGTTTTCCTTCCTCTTTTATTTTTTGAATAAATAGTTTGAGAGGAAGAAGTATTAACTCATCTTTGTTTGGTAGAATTGCATCTGGCCTTGGTTTTTTCTTTGTTGGGAATTTTTTGACTACTGATTTAATTTCATTGTTAGTCGTTAGTCTGTTCAAATTTTCTATTTCTTCCTGTTTCAGTTTGGTAGCTTACATGTTTCTTGGTATTTCTGTTTCTTCTGTGTTGTCCAATAGGTTGGTGTATAGTTTTTCATAATATTCTCTTAAAATAGTTTGTATTTCTTAGTATTGGTTGCTATTTCTCCTCTCTCATCTGTGATTTTATTTGGTGTCCTTTCTTTCTCTCTCTTTTTTTTTTTTTTATTTGAAGATTTTATTTTTCAGTACTTTCTACACCCAACAAACTTAACAACCTCAAATCAAGAGCCATTAGTTCCTTTGTTCCTGGAGAGGTCTCCCTGTTAAAGCTGCTTCTTTGGGACATAATCTTAGGTGAAAAACTAGTCTCCATACTGTGTGCCCAAGCTTTAAGACCACTCACTGCCTACAGAGTCCAAAGTGCCAGGTTTCAGTCTAGGCCTTGGGGATCCGAGCTGCCCCCAGCCTATGTTCTCATCCGTGAAATGGGGATGGAGGCAGTATTATTCTGAGAGAACCACCAGAAGGGTCTAGCGGGATCACAAGCAGAAAGGTCCAGCAGGATCGCAAGTTAGCACCCTGCCAGGGGCCAAGGACACCTGGACAGACAGATGCTGCTATTGGTGTCTCTAGTAGGATTGTTGGATTTGAGACACTCTCCACCCCGTCTCTGGCATCAGTTTGTTCTGTAGAGTCTGTGCTCTACTTCCATAGCCCTCTTTATGGCCTATGACCACATATTTCTGTTACCATTATCATCTTTGCTATTGCCATCATAAATACTTTAGCACTACTTTTTGTGTTTTAATAATAACCTTTTATATCCGTATTAATTCCCTGAGGTAAGTATTAGTCTGTATTGTTTTTGATATGGAAGTCTAAAACCTAGGGGATTAAATTATGGAGTTAGGATTTTAATTTTACTATCTAGTTCCAGTGTCTGTCTCCTATTCCATTCCATTCCATTCTGTTCCACTCCGTTCCATTCTTCTATTCTGTTGTGTTCTACTCTATTCTACTGTACACTATACTATTTTCTATTATACTATACTGTATTGTACTATATTGCTTTTCATTGGTTTCTTGCAGAACTTATGTTAACTGTTAACTATATTTTGTGTAGTTTTTGTTGCCACAGTAGATAGCAGTTTTTTTTAAATTATAATTCCCAATAATAGTTTATAACAGATCCTGTTGACTTTCATGTATTGACATGCAGCCTTGTATAATCCTGTGTGTGAGCATATTTCATAAATTAGATGCATTTCCCCCCTTATATTTTAACACCTCTGAAATCAGAATGTATTTTACAGTTGATGAGATCCTATAATCATTGTTTTTGAAGGCATTGGTCATGATTTATAACTGCTTGCAGTATTCATGAACAGTATTTATTTTGTATCATTTCAAATGAGTTAGTCCACTATAGGATACTACATATATAGCAAACAATATAATTGTTACTGTGAAACAGCTTAATTCAAGTTAGAATAAGTTGCCCTGAGAAGAGTTGAAAGAAGTTTTAAAGCAATCAGAGGTTGGTATGATTGACTAATAGTTCAGTCGCAAGATAGATAGTTGGTCATATTTGGATTGTTCTTCATTGCAAATTTTCCAAATTTCAGTTGAAGCTCCTTACTTAGGAAAAACATGAATCGATGACTTTTATCAGAGTAAAGTGACAACATCAAAAGAAGCAAAGCAGAGTGTACTAATTTGAAAGATTCTATAGATACTAATAGAGATGCTTCAACATCAATACTCTGTTGTCAAGACACTATTGTTAAACGTAGACATTGAACATTTCTAATTAGTAGGAAAATGAGCTAGAGTGGCACCCAAGATATGTTACTCTAAAGCAATGTTTGTTTGTTTGTTTTCTGTGTAAATTATGTATAAGTAAGTTTTAAAAAATTCAGTATGTATAAAAAATACTCAAAACAATAGTAACGTGTCATTTTACTTGGCTGTGGTGGTATTTCTTTAGTGGTATTTAAAACAATGCCTCATCTAGTAATTTGGGAGCATCTTTAGAATCAGTGAAATACAGGGGCGCTTAAGTGGCTCAGTTTGTTGGGTATCTGACTTCAGCTCAGGTCATGATTTCACGCTTTATGAGTTTGAGCCCTGCATCAGGCTCTGTGCTGACATCTCAGAGCCTGGAGCCTGCTTTGGATTCTGTGTCTCCCTCTCTGATTCTCATCCATTCATGCTGTCTCCTCTCTCTCTCTCTCTCTCTCTCTCTCTCTCTCTCTCTCTCTCTCTCTCTCTCTCTCTCTCTGCCTCTCTCAAAGTAAATAAACATTTTAGGGGCGCCTGGGCGGCTCAGTCAGTTAAGCGTCCGACTTCGGCTCAGGTCATGATCTTGCGGTTTGTGAGTTCAAGCCCCGCTTCGGGCTCTGTGCTGACGGCTCGGAGCCTGGAGCTTGCTTCCGATTCTGTGTCTCCCTCTCTCTCTTCCCCTCCCCTGCTCACACACTGTCTCTCTCTCTCTCTCTCTCTCTCCTTCAAAAATAAACATTAAAAAAAATTAAAAAAAATCATTGTAAAAGTGCAATCAGTGAAATACAGTAGTAATGCAAGTTAATGCTTCCTTTGCATTTTTTTATGGTTCTATTTTCTGTGAATAATGATTTCTGCTTGTCTGATGGTGTGCATACTTTACAGAAAGTACCTCCCAGGCTAAGTTTTTTAAGGATCTCTTTATCTGAGCTTAGGTCTTGGATCTCAAAATCATAAGTTCAAGTCCAAGCCAGGCTCAGCATGTAGTCTATTAAAAAAAAAAAAAAAAAGGTGCTTCAAATATTTTAT